AGCTGATGCCTGATTTGCACCCACAACGTGGGAGGTTATAACCCGTTCCCAAATTGTAAATGGGGAAACTGAGGCACAGGGATGCCAGGGACCCTCCTGAATGTACACAGCACCTGGGAAACCTGGGGACGGGGTGGGGTATGGGGTGTGGGCATGGTCCCTGACCTGGGCTGGGGCCAGGATCCAAGAGAAAGGATGGGGGTGTGGTGCATGGATAGAGGTTTGTGATGGGCAGAACCAGTTGGAGCTGGTCTGAATCTGATGCAATCGCTTGTCAAGGCACTGCTAAAGTCACATGCAACAAGTGACTTGTTAGGGGAGGAGAGTTATTTTCCCCATCTCTATGCCCTCCATGGGTAAATGCACTGAGGCACCAGGGGTGCAGGGCACCGGATGAGGTCTGGGCTGTGGTGGGACCCAGGAGGGGGCAGGCAGAGGGGCACACTCTTAGCCTGCCCTGACCCATCTGTGCTGTGTGACTCCAGGAAAACCTCTCACCCTTGCTGAGCCTGGCAACTAGGCCAAGACACCCTCAAACCCCAGTCTCTCTAACACTTGTACCAGCCTGAGGGGCTGTGATTCCTAGAGGCTCAGTAGTCTGGAATGTGATGGATTTGGTACTCTTCATTTCTCGGGATTACACCTGTAATCCCAGTACTTTGGGAGGCCGAAGTGGGAGCATCGCTTGAGGCCAGAACATTGCTGCCTGGGCAATATAGCGAGACCCTATCTCTACCAAAAAAGGTGTTTTTTTTGTGTTTTGTTTTTTGAGATGGCGGCTCGCTCTGTCACCCAGGCTGGAGTGCAGTGGCCGGATCTCAGCTCACTGCAAGCTCCGCCTCCCGGGTTTTACGCTATTCTCCTGCCTCAACCTCCGAAGTAGTTGGGACTATAGGCGTCTGCCACCACGCCCGGCTAATTTTTTGTATTTTTTAGTAGAGACGGGGTTTCACCGGTTAGCCAGGATGGTCTCGATCTCCTGACCTCGTGACCCGCCCGTCTCGGCCTCCCAAAGTGCTGGGATTACAGGCTTGAGCCACCGCGCCCAGCACCAAAAAAGTTGTTTAAAAAAATTAGCCAGACATGATAGTGTGTGCCTGTAGTCTCAGTTATTCAGGAGGCTGAGGCGGGAGGATCACTTGAACCCAGGAGACTGAGGCTGCACTGAGCCATGCACTCCAGCCTGGGTAACAGCAAGACCATAATAAATAAATAAGTGAAGCAAGTAAGTTTTTGACTGCCAGAAGAAAAGCAGAGCCATGATTGGAATCTTTGTCTGAATATCAGATATACATTAATTCCTTCAGGTATTTACTAAGCACCTATTGTGTGCCAGGCACAGTGTCAACCAAGCTGAGATTCTAAGCAGGGAATATGAATGACACACAAGGAAATAAAATAGGGTGCTTCCTATTTTAGGCAGGCTGGAAGGAGGAGGAGGAGCCAGCCATGCTGAGATTCAGGGGAGAAGTGCTCCTTTTTTTTTTTTTTTTTTTGAGAGGGAGTCTTCCTCTGTTGCCCAGGCTGGAGTGCAGTGGCGCGATCCTGGCTCACTGCAACCTCCACCACCCCGATTCAAGCGATTCTCCTGCCTCAGCCTCCCGAGTAGCTGGGATCACAGGCGCCAGCCACCACGCCCGGCTAATTTTTTGGTATTTTTAGTAGAGTGGGCGTTTCACCATATTGACCAGGCTGGTCCTGAACTCCTGACCTCAAGTGATCCGCCCGCATTGGCCTCCCAAAGTGTTGAGATTACAGGCGTGAGCCACAGCGCCCGGCCGGAGAAATGCTCTTGGTAGGGGAATAAACTTGTGCAAAGGCGCCAGCGCCGTGGTGAGATCCAGCTTGGCGTGTTAGGGGAAATGGGCACCCCCGTTCCTGGAAAACGGCAGGTCTGTGGGTGACCAGCTTCCCTATCTGTCTTCCCACAGTGCGGCTGGGATCTGGCGGCCACCTGCACCTGCGTATTTCCCGGGCCGTCCTGCCCGAGGGGCTCCCCGAGGCCTGCCGCATTCACCGGGCTCTGTTCCGGCTGTCCCCGACGGCGTCAAGGTCGTGGGACGTGACACGACCGCTGCGGCGTCAGCTCAGGCTTGCAAGACCCCAGGCGCCCGCGCTGCACCTGCGACTGTCGCCGCCGCCGTCGCAGTCGGACCAACTGCTGGTAAAGTCTTCGTCCTCACGGCCCCAGCTGGAGTTGCACTTGCGGCCGCGAGCCGCCAGGGGGCGCCGCAGAGCGCGTGCGCGCAACGGGGACCGCTGTCCGCTCGGGCCCGGGCGCTGCTGCCGTCTGCACACTGTCCACGCGTCGCTGGAAGACCTGGGCTGGGCCGATTGGGTGCTGTCGCCACGGGAGGTGCAAGTGACCATGTGCATCGGCGCGTGCCCGAGCCAGTTCCGGGAGGCCAACATGCACGCGCAGATCAAGATGAACCTGCACCGCCTGAAGCCCGACACGGTGCCAGCGCCCTGCTGCGTGCCCGCCAGCTACAATCCCATGGTGCTCATTCAAAAGACCGACACCGGGGTGTCACTCCAGACCTATGACGACTTGTTAGCCAAAGACTGCCACTGCGTGTGAGGAGCCCTGGTCCTTAGACTGTGCACCTGCCCTGGGGACACGACCTCAGTTGTCCTGGCCTGTGGAATGGGCTCAAGGGTCCTGAGACACCCGATTCCTGCCCAAACGGCTGTATTTATATATCTGCTATTTATTATTAATTTATTGGGGTGACCTTCCTGGGAACTGGGGGGCTGGTCTGATGGAACTGTGTATTTATTTAAAACTCTGGTGATAAAAATAAAGCTGTCTGAACCGCTCCCTGTGGTGTCCAGGATAAGGGAAGGTGACCTTGAGAAGATCCTCCTCTCCTTGGCTTCAGTTTCTCCAGGAGACCTTGGAGGGGGTGAGTGGAAAGGCTCAAGGAATGAGGGGCAAGGTGTACTTGGAGATGCCAGGCCATTGGAAGGTGCTTACGACACCTGTGGGCTCCAAGGGCAGCCTTGGCCATTCCTGACTCTGTCTCCATTTCTCTATCTCCCTGTTTCTGTTTCTTTTTTATTTTTACCTTTTTGAGATGGGGTCTCATTCTGTTGCCCAGGCCAGAGTGCAGTGGCACAATCACAGCTCACTGCAGCCTCAACTACCCAGGCTCAATCGATCCTCCCACCTCAGCCACCTGAGTAGCTAGGACTACAGGTGCATGCCACCACGCCCAGCTAATTTTTGTATTTTTTGTAGAGACTGAGTTTCGCCAGGTTGCCCAGGCTGGTGTTTCTGTTTTGGAAACAGCTGAGACCTCATACCCTTTTAAGTCTCAGCTTCCCTCTATCTTGCCTCATTCCTCAGAATTTCTCTCTTTGGGGGCTGAGGCAGAGGTATCTGTCTCTCTCTCTGTCTCTATCACCATCCTGTTTTCTCTCCCAAGTTGGGAGTCACCTTTCCAAACACAGGCAGCTCAGAGGCAAGTCTATCTGCCACCAAGTGCTTTGTTTTGTGGCACTGTCCTCAACCTGAGCGGTGAATCCCATCACCCCTCCTGTTTGTGGCACTTCCATGTTAGTGACACCTCATTCTTTCATATATAAAGAGCAGGGAGGAACAAATAAGTTGTGAAGAATATTTTCATGCTCACTACATCTCCCAGGTTATATATACTTCCTGTTTAGGATCTTGGAATCCCGAGGTGTGCTGAGTCCAGCCCCCTCCCCACACCAAACTGCCTGCCCACCCTGAATCTCTGAGAGGAATGGCAATGGGTGTCTTCCGGGACAGAGTACCCACTTCCAGCAGTGAAGTGTATCTGCTGGGAATGCCACCACCCAGAGGCCAACCTGAATGACTGCAGGTTCCCCTTAACGTATTCAGTGAGTGCCCACTTTATGCCAGGCCCGGGACACAGCAGTAAAAACACAACGGGAAGTGGCAGCTGAACCAGATTGGAGCGAACGGGGATCACGAGCAGGAGAGACATCTGACTAACAGGTGAACCGTCCTAAAAAAAAAAAAGCCACGTGGCCCGTACAGCTACCGGAGCTGAGCAGGAGAATGCGGACCCGGAGCGGAGCTTGCAGTGGTGGAGATCGGCATGATCAGTTGGGCGACAGAGAGACTCCGTCCAAAAAAAAAAAAAAAAAAAAAAAAACAAAAACCACCCCACTTTGTGGAGCTCGGTTGAGTGAAGGGGACAAATGAGTAAATCCTAAGAAAGTAGTTGATTGCAGTAAGATTTGTGCTGGGGATTCGATCCATCAGCTCATTAGTGAATGGAGGCAGAGGTGATCTAGATAGTTGGATGGGGAGGCCTCCCTGGGGAGGTCCCATTTGAGCTGAGACCTGGAGGAAGAAAAGCAGTCAGGGAGCGAGTAGTTGAGGGTGGACATTGCAAGTAAATGCAAACAGCAAGTGTAAAGACCCTGCGACGGGAGCAGGCTCACTTCAGTCACAGCAAAGCTGGTGAAAATGGGCACCTAGGAGGCTTCAAAATTAAACTCAACACCAAAAGAGAGCAGATGGCATCACTGAGTCCCCAAACAACAGCTGTTGTCTTTGCAAGGTACAGTGCTGGGCCTGTGGGCCTGTGCCTTCTCTGTGCCTCTCCAGGCTCTTGCAGAAGTTGGTCCACCCACCCAGCATGCCCTTTCCTCTCCAATTCTCAAACTCCTATGCATCCTTCAAAACCCACTGCAGATTACCCTCTTATTTGCAGCCTTATTCAAACTCATTCAATTGTCTCCATGTGGGGACTGTGCCCCCATTCTTCCCTTTGACCCAGGCTTGATCTCCCAGGACTGAGGGTACTTGTCTCTAGTTCTATCTCCTCCAGATTGGAGGATCGGGTAGGGACCAGCTGATAGGAAACCCAGCTGAGTCATGAGCCTGAAAAAACTCTTGAAATACAGACGTCTGTGAGTCATTAACTCTGCCTGAGAAGAAACCAGGGACAGCTTCTCAGAGGAGGCGGCATTGCACCAGGGTCTTGAAGGATTTTCTCAGAATATTAGAGCTAAAGCAATATATATACATTTTTATTTTGGGGGTGGTGTGGGCTGCACTGGGGGCCAAACCTGGAGATCAGGAACCTGGGAAGGGGCCCTGAGAGGGGCAGAAGGGAGGAATGTGGTCGGGCACGGTGGCCACGCCTATAATCCCAGCACTTCGGGAGGCCGAGGTGGGCAGATCACTTGAGGTCAGGAGTTCGAGACCAGCCTAGCCAACATGGCGAAACCCCGTCTCTATTAAAAATACAAAAATTAGCTGGGCATTGTGGCAGGTGCCTGTAATCCCAGTTACTTGGGAGGCTGAGGCAGGAGAATCACTTGAACCCAGGAGGCGGAGGTTGCAGTGAGCCGAGATCGCACTACTGCACTCCAGCCTGGGTGACAGAGTGAGACTCGGACTCAAAAACAAACAAACAAACAAAACAACAACAACAACAAAAACCAAAACAAAACAGGGATGGGAGGTGGGGAGCAATTTGGGAGTCTCAGATGGAGACTTGGTCTTAGAACTCAGAAATCCCCACCTTGAGGAACCCACTCACCCTGAGCCAGCAGCCTCATCAGCCTCAAAGCATTTATTGAGCACTGCCTGAACATCCACAGGAGGATGACGACAGGATTCACACAGTGACCCTCCTGTCCCCTTGTTGGGGGTCTCTCCTCTTCCCCCTCTAGGAGCCGAGCGGGCTGAGGAGCGGCATAGGGGACAGGGAGGGGGCGGCAGAGCTTCCTGGGGCCTCATGGATCCTTTTCTGTCCCCATTCTTCAGATGGGGAAACTGAGGCCCGGGAGGAGTTAGGATGCCCTGAGTCACCCAGCAGGGACCGAAGGGGGTCTGGGTGGAGGTTGGGACGTCTTAGGCTCAGCGCCCAGGGATCACGTACTCCTCTTCATCCATCGGGGCCTGGCCCAGTGCCTGCAGGTTACAGTAGACAGGCTGGGAGGCCAGGTCGATGTCCTTGTAGTTCATGTAAAAGTCATTGTCCTCTGAAGGGTGAGCCCTGGGGGTACACACAGACCAGGGGTAAGTGAGGGAGGGGGAGGACTCAGGGGACAGGCACATGAGCTTTGAGAAAGTTCCAAGTGGGCCAGGTACTCTGGCTCACGCCTGTAATCCAGCACTTTGGGAGGCTGAGGTGGGTAGATCACCAGAGGTCAGGAGTTCAAGACCAGCCTGGGCAACATGATGAAACCCCTGTGTCTACTAAAAATACAAAAATCAGCCAGGCATGGTGGCACATGCCTGTAGTCCTAGCTACTTGGGAGGCTGAGGCAGGAGAATCACCTGAACCCAGGAGGTAGAGGTTGCAGTGAGCTGAGATCGTGCCATTGCACTCCAGCCTGGGAGACACAGCGAGACTCTGTCTCAGAAGATTAAAAAAAAAAAAAAAAGAAAAGAAAGCTTCAGAGTGGCTCAGTCCACCCCGAATATTTACATATGGGGAAACTGTGGCACGGGGTAGTTCTGATTCCCAGCCAGCCCCACCTCTCTCTGAGGAGTGGGAGGGGAGTGATTTAGGGAAGGTTCTGTGGGTGGAACGCTGTGGTCGGAGGACCCTGAACCCTTTTTCCTTCCTTAAAAATGAGATAGCAGCCAGGCACGGTGACTCACGCCTGTAATCCCAGCACTTTGGGAGGCCAAGGCAGAAGATCTGCCTGAGGTCAGGAGTTTGATCTGCTTGAGGCCAGAGCCACTGGGCCATCCTGGGCAGCATGGTGAGACCCCATCTCTACAAAAAATAAAAAAAATTATTCGGGCGTGGTGCCATGCGCTTGGAGTCCCAGCGACTCGGGAGGCTGAGATGGGAGGATCGCTTGAGCCTGGGAGGTCGAGACTGCAGTGAGCCGTGACCACGCCACTGTACCGCAGCCTGGGTGACAGAGGGAGACCCTGTCTCAAAAAAACAAAACTTGAGGTAGCTGTTCATTATTTTTTTTTTTTTTTTTTTTGAGACAGAGTCTCGCTCTGTCACCCAGGCTGGAGTGCAGTGGCCGGATCTCAGCTCACTGCAAGCTCCGCCTCCCGGGTTCAGGCCATTCTCCTGCCTCAGCCTCCCGAGTAGCTGGGACTACAGGCGCCCGCCACCTCGCCCGGCTAGTTTTTTGTATTTTTTAGTAGAGACGGGGTTTCACCGTGTTAGCCAGGATGGTCTCGATCTCCTGACCTCGTGATCCGCCCGTCTCGGCCTCCCAAAGTGCTGGGATTACAGGCTTGAGCCACCGCGCCCGGCCGATAGCTGTTCATTATTACATTAAAATCTAAATTTTTGTTTCCTCTTGAAAAATCGGAAGCTCTGGCCACATCAGTCACATGCACACAAGTGGCTGCACCACACTGTCTGCTCCTTCTGATGGGAAATATTTTCCACACCGAAGCAACTGACTTTGTGGTCCTCATATATAAAAGCAAGTCTCTGAGCCTCAGTTTCTGCATCTATAGAATTGGCCAGGGAGCAGGGAGCTACTTAGGAATATTTGTTAAGGCCAGCAAGATCCCCAGAGAACTTTCCTGCCTCCTGAACATTCTAATTCCAAGCCAGCTCCTCTTGTAAAAAGGGCCACTGGTCCAGGTGCGGTGGCTCACACCTATAATCCAAGCACTTTGGGAGGCCAGGATGGGCAGATCACCTGAGGTCAGGAGTTCCAGACCAGCCTGGCCAACATGGCAAAACCCTGTCTCTACTAAAATTAGCCGGGCACGGTGGCGGGCACCTGCAATCCCAGCTACTCAGGAGGCTGAGATAGGAGGATATGCAGGATGCAGGAGAATCGCTTGAACCCGGGAGGTGAAGGTTGCAGTGAGCCAAGATCGTGCCATTGCACTCCAGTCTGGGCAACAGAGTGGAAAAAAAAAAAAAAAGGCAAAATGGCCACTTTGGGTATATAGCATCTATCAGTCAATTATACTCTAGTATGAATTGCCCACCAACACCTAAGGGGTTGTCGGGGGACGAACAGGACTGGGACGCAGGGTTCCTGTCCTGCCTTTTTTGACTGGCTATGTGATCTTGGACAAGTCATTTCCCTGCCTCCCAGAGCCTCCATGTCTGTAAGTGTCAGATGCAGGGTGGAAATGACACAGTCAATTCTAAACACAGTGTTTCTGGAGGCCAGGTACATAAAAGAGGCTAATCCGGAAGCCTTGGGGATAGGGAGGCCACGGTGAACATCAGAGCACAAGCTGCTTTTGTGAGTCCAGTGTCTTCAACACCCTGCCTCAGATCATTTCTGCTTTTGAGTCATGTTTACATCTGCTTTGCATATTTTCTTCTTTCTCACCGACAGTCTTCCAATGGCCTCCCCACCTCCTGGCACAGACTCTGCTGCCCAAACAGCCGTGGCTGTGGCCCCTTCCTGCTTGGCCTTCCCTGTTCCCCTCAGGCCTCAGCTTTCAAGTCATCCCTTCTCAAAAACCATTCACAGCAAATTCTCTGTTCTTTCCCGCCTCTGGGTCTCTGCCCCTGAGGGTCCCGCCCCTTGAAATTCCCTCCACTCCCTTTTCCAACCTAGAAAAGTTTTTCTTTTCTTCTTCCTCTTTTTTTTTTTTTTTTTTTTTTGAGGCGGAGTCTCGCTCTGTCGCCCAGGCTGGAGTGCAGTGGCCGGATCTGGGCTCACTGCAAGCTCCGCCTCCCGAATTTACGCCATTCTCCTGCCTCAGCCTCCTGAGTAGCTGGGACTACAGGCGCCCGCCACCTCGCCCGGCTAGTTTTTTGTTTTTTTTTGTTTGTTTTTTTTTTTTGAGACGGAGTCTCGCTCTGCCGCCCAGGCTGGAGTGCAGTGGCCGGATCTCAGCTCACTGCAAGCTCCGCCTCCCGGGTTCCCGCCATTCTCCTGCCTCAGCCTCCCGAGTAGCTGGGACTACAGGCGCCCGCCACCTCGCCCGGCTAGTTTTTTGTATTTTTTAGTAGAGACGGGGTTTCACCGTGTTAGCCAGGATGGTCTCGATCTCCTGACCTCGTGATCCGCCCGTCTCGGCCTCCCAAAGTGCTGGGATTACAGGCTTGAGCCACCGCGCCCGGCCGTTTTTTGTATTTTTTAGTAGAGACGGGGTTTCACTGTGTTAGCCAGGATGGTCTCGATCTCCTGACCTCGTGATCCGCCGGTCTCGGCCTCCCAAAGTGCTGGGATTACAGGCTTGAGCCACCGCGCCCGGCCTTTTTTTTTTTTTTTTTTTTTGAGACGGAGTCTCACTCTGTCACCCAGGCTGGAGTATAGTAGCACGATCTGGGCTCACTGCAACCTCCAGCTCCTGGGTTCAAGTGATTCTTCCTGCCTCAGCCTCCCAAGTAGCTGGGATTACAGGTAGCCACCACCATGCCCGGCTGATTTTTGTATTTTTAGTAGAGACAGGGTTTCACCATATTGGCCAGGCTGGTCTCGAACTCCTGACCTCGTGATCCTCCCGCCTCGGCCTCCCGAAATGCTGGGGTTACAGGCATGAGCCACCGCGCCCAGCCTAATTTTTGTATTTTTTTTTTTTTTTTTTTTTTGAGACGGAGTCTCACTCTGTCCCCCCTTGCTGGAGTGCAGTGGCCGGATCTCAGCTCACTGCAAGCTCCGCCTCCCGGGTTCAGGCCATTCTCCTGCCTCAGCCTCCCGAGTAGCTGGGACTACAGGCGCCCACCACCTCGCCCGGCTAGTTTTTTTGTATTTTTTAGTAGAGACGGGGTTTCACTGTGTTAGCCAGGATGGTCTCGATCTCCTGACCTCGTGATCCACCCGTCTCGGCCTCCCAAAGTGCTGGGATTACAGGCTTGAGCCACCGCGCCCGGCCAATTTTTGTATTTTTTAGTAGAGACAGGGTTTCACCATGTTGGTCAGGCTGGTCTTGAGGTCCTGACCACTGACCACCTGGGCCTCAAAAAGTGCTGGGATTACAGGTATGAGCCACCGCACCCTACCCCAACCTATAAAAGTTCAATTCATTTGTCTAAACCCAGCAAAATCATCTAGAAACTGGCAGCGGTGGCTCACACCCATAATCCCAGCACTTTGGGAGGCTGAGACATGAGGATCACTTGAGGCCAAGAGTTTGAGACCAGCCTGAGAAACATAGCAAGACCCCCATCTCTACGAAAAATACAAAAATTATTTGGATGTGGTGGCAGGTGCCTGTGGTCCCAGCTACTCTGGAGACTGAGGCAGGAGGATCACTTGAGGCCAGGAGTTTGAGGCTGCACTGATCTGTGATCGCGCCACTGCATTCCAGCCTGGGCAATAGAATGAGACTGTCTCAAAAAAAAAAAAAGTCATCTAGTGGTGATGGGACTTTGTAAGGCACCTCCTTAGCATCTCATGTGTGTCATGGGGAAAGGGAGGGCTGTCCTCATTCTACAGAGACAGAAATGGAGGTTCAGAGACAGCCTTGGGTCACACGGGACCTGGGCCTATGCTGCTGACCGCCACCGCAGAGCCCCAACTGCATTGAAGCAGTTGCCTCCTGTCTCCCCATCCTTGGCCGCCAGAAACTGGGTTTACAGGTCATGAGGGGGAAGCTTGTCCCATATATGGGAACTCATTTAATTTTTACCCCCAACACACTATGATGGGGACGATAGTTCTCCCTCGTTTTACTTTATTTTACTGATTTTATTTTTGAGATTGAGTCTCACTCTGTCACCCAGGCTGGAGTGCAGTGGCACGAACTCGGCTCACTGCAACCTCTGACTCCCAGGTTCAAGCAATTCTCTTGCCTCAGCCTCCTGAGCAGCTGGGACCACAGGCGCTTGACACCATACCCGGCTAATTTTTGTATTTTTAGTACAGACGGGGTTTCACCGTGTTGGCCGGGCTGGTCTCGAACTCCTGACTTCAAGTGATCCGCCTGCCTTGGCCTCCCAAAGAGATAGGGTTACAGGTGTGAGCCACCACATCCAGTCCTCTACCCATTTTATAGGTGAGGAGACTGAGGCTCAGAGAAGTAAAGCTACTCACCTAAGATCCCACAGCCTGCAAGCAGCAGAGCTGGGATTTGAACCCCGGCCATCTGGGTGTGGAGCCTTACTATTCACCACTTTGACAGGTGTCTCTATGGGTTACTTACCCTTGTTCAGCCCACTGGTGCTCGGCTGCTGGCTGGCCCACAAACATGTTCTCATAGTCAGGAGTGGAGGGGCGGGGTGGCGTGACCACTTGGGGCTTGGGGGTGCTCCGGCTGCCATACCGTGGTTGCAAGCCTAAACTGGGCTTGGGCCTATCCTGAGCAGGCCAGGGCTTGTCCAGGTCCCGGCTCCTGGCCACTCGGCATCGCCAGAGTCTCCAGGCCAGCACAGGGCCAGCGATGGCAAGCCCGAGAAGCAGGCACCCACTGACTGCCACTGCCCCAATGGTTGCAGGGGCCAGGCCGGGGGCGCAGCTGACCTCCAGGAAGGCAGAGAGGTTGTGCTGGAAGCTGGTTGTGTCCCAGCAGAGCAGAGGCTTCTGGCCAGAGCAGTTGTCTCGCCGGACCTCGTGCCAGGACTCCAGGGCACAGCTGCAGTCAGCCCTCAGGTCAAGGTCACAGCGGGCAGCCAGCGCCCCATCCACACGGGACAGCGGGTTGTGTAGCAGGTTCAGGACCTCAAGCTTCTGCAGGTGGGCAAAGAAGGTCACTGGAAGCTCTCGCAGGCCGTTCCCAGACAGGTCAAGGAGAAGCACGTTGCTGGCCCGCAGAGACTGGTTGAGGGGCAGGCTCAGGCCACGGCCACTGAAATTCAGGCACGTGGCACTGAACTCCGTGTTCCAGTCCACATCCGTGGAGGGCATGGTGCATGACGGTTCCTGGCTGTCTGACTCCTGCAGCAGCAGCGGCAACAGCAGCGTCCATGCCAGGGTGCCCCCCATTCAAGCAACCTACATAGAGACACCGGAATCCTAGCCCTGACCTCAGCCCTGTGGTCGCCCTTGCCTCCACCGCTAGTGTTTATGATTATACCTTAGACCAGTTCAAGCCGCTTCTGAAATGGTACAACGCAGCCCCAGTCTGGTTGCCTCCTTTGGCTGCTGGGCTGCCTCAGTCTCCCCTTCTGGGAAATGGGTAGATAACCCCGGTGCCTAGCGGGCTTGGAAGGCGAGGAAGAGACCCGGCCCAGTTAACCCTTTCTTCTACGTCCTGAACATTTGGGGCGCCCTCGTTGGCCAGGACGGGACCCTATGCAAATAAGCGGTTGTCTCGGAAATGGCCCCGCCCCTTGATCCCGCTCCTAGTGTCTCCCAGAACCGCGGGTCCTGGGAAGTGCTGGGATAGGGGGGAGTGGGGGCTGCTCAGAGGGTCCTCCCAGGTCTGATTTGCAGTCCCTGCACAGGTGCAAGTTCTAGAGCCTCAGTCCTACCTTTTGGGTCCTACTGCCACACTTTTGCCTTGGTAGTGCTGGAAAAGCGACGGCGCCCAGAGGCTGCGTCCTGGCCCACCTGGACACGGGGGCCGCAATGGCCAGCACCCTCCGCAGCGCTGCTGGGGTCGCCGGCGTTCCTCTGGCTCTGCACCCAGCGACTCAGGGGGAAGAGGAACTAGTATCTGGGTGGAGTGCAGAGGGGAAGAATGAAGACAGAGATCCGCCCCCTTGCAGGGCCTCAAGGTTCTCATGAGAGGTGGATGGAGGGCAAGGGGGAGGGGTGGCCCAGGGTCCCGCTTCCCTCTTGCTAGAACCCAGTGACTTCATGTCCTCTATTAGCACCCCAACCGACAGCCACCTCATCAATTCGCTTCTCGATCTCAGCTCAGTTGGCTCCCAGCTCATGCAGTCATTTATTCATTCAACAAACATTACCCACGCTGGGCCCCCAAGAGGCCTCAGCCCTGACCAGGTCCTCAAGGAGCTATCTTAAGGGAGGACAGAGTTGGACATAGACACTCATAGTCCCATGCAGTCAAGGAAGGTCCAGAGGGAAAGACAGGGTCCTGGAAGGCTTCCTGGAGGAGGAGGCATTACAGATGGGGCTTCAACACATGAGTAGGAGTTCACCAAGATTCCTCAAACCTATAATTGGCTCTCCAAGCTCCTCCAAGCCCCTCCCACTGAGTTCTTGCACAATGGCACCTCTGTGCTGGAGAGGACAGTGAGGAGGGCTCCCAGCAGCTTGAGAAAATGTAGCTGGCTGGATTAGCATGGTTAGGAGTGGAGAGGATAGAAGGAATTGGTGGCAGGGGAAGAGGTCCATGTGGAGCCAAGGCAGGTGTGTGGGCAGAGGGTCACTGGCTCAAGAATTCCCTCTGGAGTGAGCCTGGTGTCTGGGGTGGGCAACATGGGGAGGAGGCTGAGGTTCCAGAAGCAGACGGGGGCCTGAGGCAGACTGGAGGGTTAGTAGTGACAAAAGTGATACTGGGGAGGGGTGGCCTGGGAGAAGTTCTCACCTGAACCTGGTGTCAGGCGGACCAGGTTCCAACCTATGCCAGCCCCTGACTCACTGTGCCACCTTAACTGTGTGTGCCACCATGTCCACAGCTGTCAAATGCACAGAGGCTTCTCCGGGATCTGGGAGGGTGGGAGTCCACTCCCCCACGTTTTCCCCTCTCCTCAGCCTCTGTCCTTCCCATCACCAAACTCCGAGAAATGGTCAAAGGCTTTGAACCAAGACATTGAAGAAAACACTGGAAACTGCTCTTCAACATGTCCAGAGATGCTCATTCTTGCCAGGTGCAGTGGCTCACGCCTGTAATCCCAACACTTTGGGAGGCTGAAGTGAACAGATCGCTTGAGCCCAGGAGTTCGAGACCAGCCTGGCCATCATGGTGAAACAACATCTCTACTTTAAAAAATACAAAAATTAGCCAGGTGTGGTGGTATGTGCCTGTAGACCCACCTACTCAGGAGGCTGAGGCGGGAGAATCATTTGAACCCAGGAGGCGGAGGCTGCGGTGAGCCGAGATCAGTCCACTGTATTCCAGCCTGGGCAACAGAGTGAGATCTGTCTCAAAAAAAAAAAAAGTTCACACTTAATAAGAAAACCGCAAATTACAAACTGTTTGTCTTCACCAATCAAATTGGCAAAAATCCAACAGTGCAATGACATGCTGTGCCATCCAGGCTGTGGGGTACGTCCATGGTGTAGCATTGGTGGAGGGCACCCTGGCACAGGCCACCGGAATGATAAACTCATGTGTCTGCTGACACAGCAAGTTCACTTCTGGGAATCCCTGCCTGAATATTTGCATGTTTGCAGTGTGAACTGACTAACGAATAAAAAAAAACGTGGCTCAGCCCAGGCGTGGTGGCTCAGGCCTGTAATCCCAGCACTTTGGGAGGCCAAGGTGGGCAGATCACGAGGTCAGGAGTTCGAGACCAGCCTGGTTGACATGGTGAAACCCCATCTCCACTAAAAATACAAAAATTAGCTGGGCAAGGTTGGTGGCACGTGCTTGTAATCCCAGCTACTCAGGAGGCTAAGGCAGGAGAATCGCTTGAACCCAGGAGGCAGAGGTTGCAATGAGCCGAGATCATGCCATAGCACTCCAGCTTGGGCATTAGAGCGAGACTCCATCTCAATAATAATGATAATATTAATATTTAAAAATTAGCTGGGCATGGTGGCTTCAGCCTGTATTTCCAGCTACTTCAGAGGCTAAGGTGGGAGGATCCCTTGAACCCAGAAAGTTGTGACTGCAGTGAGCCGTGATTGTGCCACTCCACTCCAGTCTATGCAGCAGAGCAAGACCCCATCTCTAAAAAATAATTTAAAATAAATGGCTGGGCTGGGTGAGGTGGCTCATGCCTGTAATCCCAGCACTTTGGGAAGCTGAGGCGGGCAGATCACAAGGTCAGGAGATTTGAGACCATCCTGGCCAACATTGTGAAACCCCGTCTCTACCAAAAATACAAAAAATGAGCTGGGCGTGGTGGCGTGTACCTTAATCTCAGCTCCTCGGGAGGCTGAGGCAGGAGAATCACTTGAACCAGGGAGCTGGAGGTTGCAGTGAGCCGAGATCGTGCCACAGCACTCCAGCCTGGTGACAGAGCGAGACTTCGTCAAAAAAAAAAAAAAAAAAAGAGAGAGAAGGCAAAAAGATGCTCCAAGCTCAAAGTGATTCATTGCAGCATTGTTTGTTACATGAAAAAAAAAAAAAAAAATGGGCCAGGCACAGTGAGTCATGCCTGTAATCCCAGCACTTTGGGAGGCCAGGGTAGGAGGATCGTTTGAGTCTAAGAGTTCAAGGCTAGCCTGGGCAACATGGTGAAACCCCATCTCTACAAAAAAAAAAAAAAATATATATATATATATATATACACACACATATATATATACACACACACACATATATACACACAAAAAAAAAAGATTAGCTGGGAGTGGTGGCATGTCCTTGTAGTTCCAGCTACTCAGGAAGCTAAAACAGGAGGATCACTTGAGTCTGGGAGGCAGAGGTTGCAGTGAGCCGAAATCGTGTCACTGCACTCCAGCCTGGGGTGACAGAGTGCAGAGTGATACTCCGCCTCAAAAAAAAGGAGAAAAAAAAAGGAAATAACTTTTTTTTTTTTTTGAGACGGAATCTCGCTCTGTCTCCTGAGCTGGAGTGCAGTGGCCGTATCTCAGCTCACTGCAAGCTCTGCCTCCCGGGTTCACGCCATTCTCCTGCCTCAGCCTCCCGAGTAGCTGGGACTACAGGCACCCGCCACCTCGCCTGGCTAGTTTTTTGTATTTTTTAGTAGAGACGGGGTTTCTCCATGTTCGCCAGGATGGTCTCGATCTCCTGACCTCGTGATCCGCCCGTCTTGGCCTCCCAAAGTGCTGGGATTACAGGCTTGAGCCACCGCGCCCGGCCGGAAATAACTCTTAAAGGATTGGGTACATCAATAACAGTTCATCTATCCTGGTGTGCCACAGAGTTTGAAAATGAAATTATAGATCTCTATGAACCTATAAGGAAAGACTCATTCATTTCCTCTGCAAGCCTTTATGAAGTTCCTGTTGTATACCTGGTACTATGAGCTACAGACACAGCAGTGAATAAAACAGACAAAAATCCTGCCCCCCCACCATCCCAGGACTCTCTCTGTAGTTGGGGAAACAGACGACAGGCAGAATCCATCAAGAAAATATATCAACTACAGGTGGTGGGAATGCTGCAAAGAAAAATAAGGGCCGGAAATTAGATGGGGAAACTTTTTTTTTTTAAATTTGAGACGGAGTTTTGCTCTTGTTGCCCAGGCTGGAGTGCAGTGGCGCAATCTCGGCTCTCTGCAACCTCCACCTCCCGGGTTCAAGTGATTCTCCTGCCTCAGCCTCCCGAGTAGCTGGGATTACGGGTGCATGGCACCATGCCCAGCTAACTTTTTGTATTTTTAGTAGAGATAGCGTTTCACCATGTTGGCCAAGCTGGTCACAAACTCCTGACCTCAGGTGATCCACCCGCCTTGGCCTTCCAAAGTGCTGGGATTACAGGTGTGAGCCACTGGGCCTGGCTGCAGAAGCAACTTTTTAATGGGATGATCAAGGAATCCCTTAGGGAGTGAGAAGGAGGGGATGTGGGGAACAGCATCCAGGAGTGGGAATAGCATGTGCAAAGGCCCTGTGGTGGGAGCAGCCCTGGGTAGAGAGCAGATGTCTCCAAGTGTTTCTTCAGGCTGCTATAACAAATATGCCATAAACTGGGGTAGCTTATGAACAACAGAAATTTATTCCTCACAGTTCCGGAAGCTGGGAAGTCCAAGATCAAGGCACCAGCAGATTCACTTCCTAGTTTGCAGATGACCATCTTCTCACTGTGTCCTCAGTAGGCAGCAGAGGGAGCAGGGGAACTCTTGGGGCCTCTTTTATGAGGAGCAGAGGGATGGAGGAGCCCAGCCAGCAGTGAGCCTCATGCAGCTGCACATCCTCCACGCCCAGGGAAGCCACAGGGGGAGTCCAGTTGGGAGGCGTCTTAGAAAAGAAGGAAATGAAGAAATGAGGAAGTGCTAGACCCGAGGCTGCAGGTGGTGGGGGACAGGCAGGTCTGGGGTCTGGGATAGTGAGTTTTGGAGGTGGGTCTAGGGAAGCTGGGGTCCTTGAAGTCTGACAGTTTGAGGATGAGGGGGTCCTGAGATTTGGGGGCTCTGAGGTCTAGGGATCCAGGGATCTGAGAGTCCTGGAATCTAAGGGTCCTGGAGTCTGGGGGACCTGAAGTCTGGGAATCCAGAGGTTTGGGAGTCCTAGGATCTAGGGGTCTTGGGATATGGGGGTTTGTTGGGGGGGATTCTGGGGTCCAAGGGTCTGGGGATCCAGAGGTCTGAGAGGCTTGGGGTCTGGGGGTCCGGCATCTGGTGGTTCTGAAGTCTGGTGATCCAGAGGTCTGGGAGTCTTGGGGTCTGGGGGTCCTGCAGTCTGGGGGCACTGGAGTTTGGTTGTCTCGGGGCCTGGGGGGGTCTTAGGATGTGAGGGTTCTGGGGTCTGTGGGTGCTGGGGCCTGGGGATCCAGAGGTCTGGGAATCTTGGGGTTTGGAGGTCCTGGGGCCTGAGGGTCCTAGGGTCTAGGGATCCAGAGGTCTGGGGGTCCTGGGATCTGGGGGTCCTGGGGATCTGGGGATCCTGGGGCCTGGGGATTCAGAGGTCTGGGAGTCTTAGGGTCTGGGGCCCCTGGGGTCTGGGCTTTCCTGACATAGCCCCAGCTGGCTACACCCAGGTTTCTGGGAAAGGGGACAGCTCAAGACTCCACTGGCCCCCTCCCTGGCTGAAGGGAGCCTGGAACTTTCAGAGGCCACCTCCCTGTGGTCCCTCTGCTGCCCCCCAATGTACCTGAAGCCGTCCCAGGCTTAGTCCCAGGCAGGGCCAGCCAGTCTGCACAAACACCTGCAGGCAGCCGCCAGAGACTGCCCCAGGCAGACAGACACCAGTCTGCCCCCCAGGGATATTCAGAGATGCCAAGAGACCCTCAGACACACTTGGGGACCACCATCGGCATGCAGAGACACCTAGGGACACTCAGAAAGGCCCAGGGATGCCCAGAAACCTCAGAGACCCCCAAGACCCTCATAGACATTTAGAGACCTTCAGAGACTCCCAAAGACCCTCAGAGATCCCCAGAGATTTTCAGAGACATTCAGAGACATCTGGGCTGGGCTCGGTGGCTCATGACTGTAATCCTAGCACTTTAGGAGGCTGAGGCGGGTGGATCACCTAAAGTCAGGAGTTTGCAACCAGCCTGGCCAACATGGGGAAATGCTGTCTCTACTAAAAATACAAAAATTAGCCAGGCGTGGTGGCGCACACCTGTAATTCCAGCTACTCGGGAGGCTGAAGCAGTAGAATCACTTGAACTCAGGAGGCAGAGGTTGCAGTGAGCTGAGATTGTGCCACTGCACGCCAGCCTGGGTGATAGAGCAAGACTCCATCTCAAAAAAAAAAAAAAAAAGATAAATATTCAGAGACATCGAGACCATACAGAGATCCTCACAGACCCTAGAGATGCCCTGGAAAGCCCAGAGGCCCCGCTCCAAGAAACAAACATGGAGAGCCAGGCAAGAAGCTCCCTGGAGCGGCCCCGCCTCAATTCAACTCCATCACCACATTCACCCGACACCCTCAGGTCCTCAGAGCCCACCCTGAGCTGCGTGATGCCAGAGCCCCTCCAGGCCTCAGCCTGGGTGCTGCCCCAAGATCCCCCTGTCTAGGGAGTGGGGCAGCCATGGATGCCTGGCCCTGTGGGGTCAGATCAGGCTGGAGTAGGGTCAAGGGCTGCCCTCCCATTTCCCCAATCACCTGCA